TTTTGTCGTGTGTCTCCATTACTTAGAGCATTGGGGTTTTTTTCAGGGTTAGTGGTTCAGTTGGAAAATGCTTGAAAAATGAGTTTTAAGCACTTCATCAAGCACAGCAAACAAATGGTATAAAACTTTGCTATTTGAAAATTGATTCAATGTAATGATATCGACTGAATTGTTTTTCTTCAAATACAGATACCTCACAACGGAAAGCACAGCTGTACTGTATCTAAACTAATTCTCGGAAATAATAAAAAGTTGGTCTCAAATATTTTATTGCCATTAGGTTGCTTTCTGTGATTGACAAAATCTGGTTTTGTGTTTTCATCCGCGCTCTCGAAAGTATGTATTGATGGTGATGTGCCAGGATAATTATCTTAATACATTACAGAAAGTAGCTGCAAAACACCAGAGTCTCTGTTAGCTCGAGGCAACAGGTTGAATGACTACTCCGAAACCACAGTAAAAGCCTGTGAAACAGGATCAGTGCATTCAACACTTTTTCTAATACTTTGCCAATGATGTACAGTCTTATTGTTAAGAGTTGCTGTGGTTGCATTACATGACACACAAAACTGTCCTCTACCTCACGTGAGATTTAACAGATATTTTATATGGTTTTAGTAAGCAAGATGCATCTATCTGGTCACTTAGTTTACAAATTTTGAATTATATTTATTGAAACATGACATACTGTGCTCTTAGCTTATACCTCAATTGTATTTTGTGCTGTTATCCATTTTCATGCCTTGTAAATACCTGTATAGATTGTGGATTCAAAAACAAATAAAGAACTGTAATGTCAGAACGCTTGTCTTGGTAATATTTTTGAATACTGACTTCTAAACTTGGCTTTTCAGGTGGTGTTTAACAACGGTGCTTTTCTAAGGAAGACAGCATCTTCCTTGCTTCGATTCCAGTAAATTAGAACCTGACTACACTGAAGCTTGTTAGCACAACTCCCACTGCCTGCAGCAGGTCCCCGGTTTTCTAAGGGGAATTTTTAGCAAAATCTATGAGATCAATAGCCCTCCCCCACCATGGGTCCATCTTTTAAAGCTCTTATGGCTCTGTGATGATACTGACACTAGGTCATGTGTATCTTGGCATAAATCTGGTATTTATACATGTAAATACAACCACTTGTGTATTTGGCGTGTTCTCTGGCACACAGCTTTTGTTGTTACTTGACTATTTGAGCAATGTTTGGGTTGTTCACGCCTCTCCTTACCAGCTGAGTACTGAAGAAGACAAAAGTCAGACATCACCGTATAAAATGCTGAGATTTATAAAAAGTTAAAATCAGAAATGAGAAATTATTTGCTGATGGAAAATATGCCCCACAGTGACTCTCGGGGGTTCTTAGTTTTTGTAAATAATGCAGTTGTGTTACTTAACATTTTTGTCTACTCTCGGAGAGCTTAAATAGCAGAAAATTCAGGGTAGAAGAGAGAGGAAGGAGGCAAAAGGAAAAGGGGGAGCTGTTCCTGTAAGCTCTATATGAATGGATCTTCCATTTAGGTTGAGTTTCGCTTACGTATAAGAACAGGCTGTGTTCTGTTGGCCACAAAAACCTCTAGATTGTGATAAGAAAATAAAACTTGTACTACAAATAGTATTTGGAGATTTTCTAGGTCATTTTATTCATACTGGGGGATTGGGGTTTTCTGACCGTTAAGAAAGTGTGGTCGCATACACACACTTTGATATTTTTCCTTCCCATCAAATCAGAGCAAAATGCTTTGTTCTTGTGTTACGGTACCAGTCTTGCATATGGGAAATCCTGGTTTTGTTTCATTATTGCAAACCCTTAATGCTACCATGTACTTGCCTGGATTTTGCAGCTGAAAAGACACATGAGTGGTATTAACCCCGATGAAGATGAAATTGGTGATGTGTCAATGAGCTCAACCTTTTGTATGGAAGAAAACGAACAACTGTCTCTACCCTTAAAGAGTTAACCCTGCTTATTGCTGCATCCCACGTTATATTTTTATACTGCTGTATCTTCAAAGGAAGGAGAAACTACCGGGCTGAAAACCCTGCAGAGAAAAAGTTCAAGGTGAGTCATTTTTATGAGGAAGAAGTCATAGGGTGTTGATCGCTGGTGTAAGTATGACTAACTGCCATGCATGGCTCTAGTCAAACAATGCTGATCAAGGAGAAACTGCTTGAGTGACGGGGTGAAAAGATTGATTTTTAAGGTGCTCACACGGTTGCTGAAATAAATGTGTGTGTAGCACTTGCTTTAAAAATGGCAAATATTAATAATATTGCCCTAAGCCTATCAGTTTATTAGGCATGTAGCTGGGAAGTCAGTCTTCATTTCTTATTTTTATTGATCTTGTGAATCGTTCACTTGCAGCATGCTAACTTATGTTCTGTTAAATAGTGGTGGTGCTATTTATCAGTAAATCTTTCCTGTCTCTGTCAACACTAATGAAATAATTCAAACTGCCCTGGGGGCACCGGGTTGAGTATTGCTGAACAGGACCAGTTACTGAAGCGCAACTTTTCCTTCTTGCCCATTGAGCTGCTGCACGCTCTGACACACGCGTTTGTGAAGGAAGATGCGGCAGTGTAAGAAGCTTTTGTGGTTCAGGAAACCATAGGCTAAATTACACTGGGATGCATTCACAGCCTGGGAATTCGTATCTCACAGCATTTTAGAAGTCTTTCTTTGTGGTGAAGGGGGGGAGGCCCTGGCACAGGCTGCCCAGAGAAGCTGAGGATGCCCCATCCCTGGAAGTGTCCAAGGCCGGGCTGGATGAGGCTTGGAGCAACCTGGTCTAGTGGAAGGTGTCCCTGCCTATGGCAGGGGGATGGGGCTGGATGGTCTTTAAGGTCCCTTCCAACCCAAACCAGTCTGCGATTCTATGATTTTTTTTGTGCATTAGGATGTGCCTGCCCTATCGCCAGGAGAAATACTTCTAATCTCAGCTTTGGGATGAAATGGGATATCAAGATGTTGCAAAATTTTATTGTATTTCGAAAGAAAATGAAATACTTAGAAGTATGTTGAATATCTAAGTACTAATGTGATTTAGACAATATGCAGAGTTTTTAAACTCCAGAAGACTGTGTGGTGACAGTACCATTAGGCTGGGATCAATCATCCCAAAGTGGTTTAGTATCATTATGGCTGATATTAATCAAAAGGCAGTATTAAGCTGTGTGCATCTGTACTTGATACAAAGATCAGATGTTTAATTTACAGAACGGTTTGAATTGAGATGGATGAAATACCAGACTGAAGAAATGAAAACTGAGTCAGTGGAGGGGAGAGACAGGGATGTGTTCATTTGTCAGCTCGTCTCCTTCCAAATGCAGGAGGCGACGCGTGATCAGGCCAACACAGTTCCGTGGTCCACGAAGTGGAACAACACTAATTTCACTTGAGAGATGATGAGTTTAGTTCCTGAATAATAAATAAGCAGGAATATTGTTTGGGAAAAGATGAAATCCATCTAGAATTGATCCCTAGAAACCACGAAAACAGTGGTTGGATGTAAGCAACAGCACGCTTCACCTGAAGCCGGTGCAGTAGAAGAATAAGCTGTGTAGAAAGGTGGAATCCCTTCAGGAAAGTCCACGTAAGGCCAGCTGGCAGCATGGCTTCACAAAAATACTCTGAACCAGCTATAGAAATAGGCCAAGAAGTAACTAACAGTATAAAACAAATGTGAAAACATTTTTATTTATTATAAAAGCTCCTCTTCAGAGAGAGTTTTCAACTCTTTTATGTAGTAATTCCAGCGTTTAGGTGAAGCTTTGACAAAACAGCTGTGGCCCCGTGCCCTTGAATTTTGAAACTAAGGAACATGTGACAAATGAAGCTTAGGATGGTCTTGTTCACATTTTTCACTTTATTTGCTAAAGAACGGGAAAAAATGCTGTTGGATGAAGGGCGGGATAGATTTCACTCCCAGCACCTCAGTTATTTCTCATCCAGCACCAGCTCTAGGAATGAATCGAATCCCTTGTCCGCTCATTTTCCCTGTGCAATGGGGACACCTCTCCACTAGTGGTCCCTCCAGGCATGTCCTATCTGCCTGGATCCAACCCTTCCCTTTGCTCAGTCAGAAGCACTGGGGGACGCACGGTGATGAAATCTCACGAGGGGGGTGTTGGCACCCGATAACGTACATCTGGGCTTGTGAAAACGCAAGGGAAAGTTAGGAAAATACCTAAATCGCCTGTTTCTCCTGATGCGGGATGGGCTGTGAGGTTTCTCTTCTTTTGACATATTGAAGTGGGCTGCTCGTTCCTCTGTTGGGTAGAGTAAAAGTTACACTCGTAATGAGTCTGAGTAAAAAAACGGTCATTTCAATTTTGGCATTCAAAAGTAGAAATAAGGTGCTGTTAAAAACATACTGAAGACCCTGTGAGGGTTAGTGAATACTTCTGAAAACCCAGGCACAAGCAGAGAATGCAGTGACGGGTCTCATGTTTTTGCAGTTACTGAAAACAGCAGGAAAGACCCGACTGATTTTGTCCTTTTACTGCGGCGTGCGGATGACTTTGATGAGATGATCAATTCCAGCTCCTGAGTAACTCTGTCCACCACGTTTCTTGCCCTGTCTTTCCGTGAAGAGGTCCAGTGTGATCGCTTGTCTTCAGCTCAAAAACACTGCTTTAGTTTTTCCTCCCTTGTTGCCGAAATTTGAACAGTCAGGCTGTTTGCATTCCAATAAAGCAGTCCGGTTTGTTTTTCAAGCACGGGTGGGTGTAATTCTGTGTCTCCTCCTCTTCACCCCCTCCTTCCCCTCCAACTGCCTTGATGAACGGGCAGAAGTTGGGGCTCCCCGCTCGCTCCTCCCATGCGTTATGGGGCTGGAGGCAGCTCTAAACCCCTCCCAGGGAGGGAGCTGGGCAGAGGCAGCCGAGTGCCTGCAGCAGCACTCAGGGACCTCTTCCCACCAAACTCCCGTCCATCCTGCTCCCAGTAGGTCCCGGCAGCAGGGAGCTGGGCAGCTGGCTTTGCTGAAGCCCTTCGGGAGCTCTCCTGTCCAGCTCGCCGCCCCGAAGGATCGCCATGGTGGCCACCTGCCTGCACCTGGCCGGATTTATCTGCAGCTTTATCGGCTGGATCGGGGTGATCGTGGCAACATCCACCAACGACTGGGTGGTGACTTGCGGCTACACCATTACCACCTGCAGGAAAATGGATGAGCTGGGATCCAAGGGGCTGTGGGCAGACTGTGTCATGGCGACAGGTCTCTATCACTGCAAGCCCCTCGTGGACATCCTCATACTGCCAGGTACGTGTGCCCCATCCTCCCCCATCCCACCCAGAGCTGAGGGGCAAAGCTGGGCTCCGAGCGGGGCAGGTCCTGCTGCAGGATGAAGGAGTGACCAAGCTCCTTCAGCTGCATCAGCGCAGGAGATGGGTCGTTAAATACACTGAAGAACGTGAATAATAGCTCTAAGTGTGATTCTCATTAATTTGTACCTGGTTTTAGTCATACCCAGGTATCATGTGTTATCAGGGTGTATTAAAGTCCAGTTTAATCATTGCTTTTAGTAAACACTCACTCTTCCTTCCCCATCTTATTTCTAGATGGCATTGCCAAACATAGGTAGTATGTAGAGGTATAAGGGTACTTCGGGTTATAATAGGGTATTTTGAGTTTTGCTTTGAGATGATGATGAGCTATTACAAATGTTAAGGCCCTGTTCCTTAAAGTGATTCTGAGTATAATGAATCTTTCAGCATCTATTATTAATGCTGCTATGGCTTTTAATCTTTTGGAAGATTGTCATTAGTCTTGATGGTCTTGTGCTTCCCACATGTTCTAAGGCAAGACAGAACTCCTACACGGCAAACAGATGTAGCTACATTTAACTTGTCTTGATATTTTCTAATTATATAGCAATTTTCATCTAGTTTACTGCAGAGCAAGAATTAAGCAAGGTGTTTCACCAGTATTAATGCATCTTTAGAGCTAATGAATCCTGCCAAAGTCTTGTGTGGTCTTGTCCCTGTAAGTTTAGTTATTGATCTTACCTGTTTCAATCACTGTTAACTCTGCAGCGCTGCTTCGTTCCACTGTGTTTTGGTTTGCACCTCCTCTAGCATGTCAGCGATGCCTCTTCAAAAGCTGACAGGGTAGAAATAACCATTCCCTGTAGTTTTCTTTCGTATTATTTTGTTTATTTGTTTAGACTGTCATGAAGATTATTTCATGAGAGGTTAGAAAGATTGTTCACAAATTTCTCTCTGTTGCAGAGCCTTGTCTGTGTCACATAGTGCTTAGAAATACTCAGTCTCTGAAGTAGCTCCTATTTTCCCTTTCTCTGTGTATGTGTACTTTTACTGTAGTAAGTTTAACTTCCTTCTTGCTTGCTCAATATGATCTGGCACAGCAGACAGAGAAAAGGCTTGCCCCAAAGGAACATTATTGGATAAAATTTAATTAATAGGTAAATAGGTCTTTCAGCAGCGGAAACCAATGCTTCTCTCCAGCAGAAACAAATCACAAAACAGGATGCTTCTGCTTGTAACCTATTTGATACCCACAGCTTTCCATGAAAGGGAAGTTTATCCTGGTGTGCCTGCTAGCTGAAATGTATTTATTTCGTTGCCTGAGTCAAATCTTTAAAACGAATGTGTTTGTATTCTTGTTTATTTGGGATTGATTGCATAGAAACGCCACTGGGCACTGCCATCTGCCCTCATTTTTTGCCCTGAACTCCTCAGGTAACTTTTTTTGTTAAGTTTCCTCATGAAAAAATGAAGCAAATATTGAATATACCGAATCTGCATTTCTAGGAACAGTAAAATCCTATTCCTGGAGTCTTGCCTGTATGTCAGCAGGATTTGCTTGAGGCACCTTTTTGCTGATACTGTTTGAGAGGTCACAAAACCCAGCGTCTGCGTGAGGCAGCTTCATTTTGTTAAGAGGGGAAAGAGAGTCAGCACATTTGCTCTGCTGAGGCTGTCCTGAGAGCTGGTGGAGACTCACCAGGCCCTGGAGCAAATCCTACACTTTTTTTTTTTTTTATGCAAATAATGACCTGGTTCTGTTGATTTATATATAAGTTTTATATTTTATATTAAGAATTGTATATAAATATATAAGAATATAAAATAATTTGCTACATTATTATACATGGACCCTCACAGAGTGGTAGAAATAGCATGTCCCTGCCCAGCACACCCACAGTCCCTGTCTCCTGTTGCTCCTCGCAGCCTTGTGTTGGGCTGTTGGTTTGCACGGGGGCAGCTACTAGTCTCTTCTGAAACCCCAGCGCCAGGCTGGACTCCCAAGGCACAGAACTGGGACATGGCTGTGGTTAGTGATGTCCTTCCTCCTCCCAGGTCCTCTGGGCAGCTGGTGGTCGCATCTCAGGGACCTGCATATTTCAGCAGTGGGTCTTCCCTCCTGTAGATGACTGTGGCCTCCTCTGCTCACAGCAGGCTGCTCTTTCAGACTGCAAATTCTCATTATTTAATCAAGATTCTCCCTGTGAAAAGTTATAGGAAAACTCCTTCCTAGCTGTTTCTCCTACTTTCCCTTCCCATATTTCCCAGCTCCATGATTTCTCAGTGTATTGCTGCGAAGAGTTTGTGTTTTCCAGGCAGTTCTACTTGTTCAGTGGAAAATCTTGAGCTTGCACATCCCATGTCCATGCACTACCCACTGTACTGCAGTCTCACTGCCTTAATTGTTTGCACAAAAGATTGAACCTGTCTCCTGTACTCCAGGCAAGCATTGGGAGCTAATCAAATGGGAGCCTTTGTCCAATGATCTCCTTCTCTTGTGCCAAATAATTGAAGTACTCTTCCCTTGCCTTGCCCACAGGGTATGTCCAAGCGTGTCGAGCACTGATGATCGCCGCCTCTGTCCTGGGTCTTCCTGCTATCTTCTTGCTGATAACAGTCTTGCCCTGCATCCGGATGGGCCATGAGCCTGGAGCTGCCAAGTACCGGCGATCCCAGCTGGGAGGGATCCTCATCATCCTTCTGGGTAAGGCTCCCGCCGGCCCCACCGTGTGCGGAGCTGGAGGTCGTCTGCTCCAGGATGGCGCGGTGCAAGCTGGTTGAGCACGTTCACCTGAAAGCACCGTCGTCCAGGCTGGGCCGACCCCGAAGCTCTCCAGCATGGCTGCGGGGAACACAAGGCACGAGCGGGAGTGGGAGGGCAAAGACAGGAGGCAGGGTGAAGAGGGGAGGGCTGTGACAATGCTCTGCATTGTCCTGTGGAGCCCTTGGGCACGGCCACCGCCTGCGTCTGCGGGAGGGTGATGGTGGTCGTGCACAGGCAGCTGGTTTGGCTGGTTGGCTGTGGAAGCAATACTATTTTTGGAAAGGGGTCTAAACTCCCAGGCTACTTACAGGGAAAGAATAGGGTCCGAATTTCAGGCATTGCAGGTGCAGTAAGGTCAAAGCAGGCTGAGTTGTGGGAGGGGGGAAACCCGTGGCCGAGTGGGTGCTGGTGCTGCAGGGACAAAAGCAGAGGGGGCAAGGAGGTGGCAGGGACCTGGGAAGAGGGGTGGCATGTTCCCTGTGCCTCCCAACCCCTTCTGGTCAGCCTTGCCCCTCCAAGTTCCCCTGGGAATTTCTTCCCATCCTCAGTGCCTGCGGAGGAGATTGTTTTGAGCAGTGCAGACTGTGGAGCTCATTGTCCCCAACGCAACACCTGCATGTTCTTGAAGCCTCGTCATCTCAGCAACAGGCTGCGGTGCCTTGTTTTTACCCGTCTATGTGGCAGAGGAGGAGGGGTGAGGGAAAGTGGCCTCTTTGTGTGGCTCTGCTGGCCTCGGCAGCCAGCACTGACATCATGCCCGTCTTCTTTCTTCTTCTTCTCCCTATTTTTTTTTCAAGTGGGCACTGGATATAGCTGCACGCTTGAGGGGCTGTCCTCTGGATGCTCCTTCCATGACAGTGTTCTCTCCTCCAGTGCCTTGGTGGGAAGCGGTTAGTACAAGTCAGTATATCCGAAATCCAAGGGACTGAGACCAAAGGGCATTTTCAACATCTGTAGGGTTTAAGAGTAAGTTGCCATGGCTGGAAATCCTAAAATCAGCTGTACAGGGCTTGTTTAGGACATCTTGATCATGAACAGCCCTGTTGGAGAGCTGTTGGAATGTGGCTTTCATCCCTGTCCTGGACTTCGAGTCACGTGTGTGGGGTTGGCAAAGTGAAAGAAAGTGGCTTTTTCTGCCCATGAATGAAATTTTAGTGCTGGAGGAGGCTGCTCTGCCGGATTTCCCCTGCCCGGGATAGGGGAGGGCCAGCAGACCTGACCTTTGTCACAAAATAATGTGGGTTTTTGGTTCCAGTGAAGGAGAATCGTGCTGTGGATCAGCCCCGTTTGCACAGCTGCGGACGTGGAGGCAAGCGTATTGCCCTTAAATCTGCTTTGCCAAAGGGCAGCAGCATTACAGGGCCAGCACACGTGGCAAACAAATTGCAGTGGTAGTACTGGGTGATGCTGCATTAGGACAAGTGAAATCCCATATCTTGAACCAGAGTTTGGGGCCTGGTATGCCCCTCTGCCATCCTGGTCTTGCTGCAGTGTAAAGCCAGGGAGGAGAACAGATGGATGAGGATGGAGAAGCGAGGTTGTGGTGCTCCGTAAGCCAGGCTCCTCTCTGCGTCAGAACATGATTTTCCCACTAAGTAGATGCTGTGAGGAAAGGAAATGTGTGTGTACAGAGACGCTGGCAGGCGAATGCTCTTTGGGTCAGATTTGGGCTTCTTACTGATTTTTACCCCTGTGAGTTTTGAAGTATCTGCAGTTGAAGTGGTTTGTTCATGTCGGTGATGTCCTGAAAGATCTGGGCTGGGAACAGCACCCTGATCACAATGTTTTAGTCACAATTACAATAATGCTCTTTTTTTCAGATACAAATGAAGAATAAATAAGCTTCTTTTGCTCTTAAAAAAAAAAACAAAAAACAAAACCCAAAAAACTCAAAAACTCAAAACACAAACCCACCCACATGTATTTTTAAAAAACCCGAATTTTTCCAGGCTGATCAGCAAGACAGTACCTTTGGAAGGAAAATAGTGCACAGAGCTTGGGACTTGGACATTATTTAAGCTGATTAATGATCTGTTATTTGCAAAATGAGGGGTTGCCACTTCTCATTTAATAATTAATTTAACAATTAATAATATTAATGTGTATTTAATAAGCATAAATCAGGCCTCAAAAATCATAATATTGACTGACTTAAAACTAATTATGTTCTAGAAGTAATATGCCCTGGGCTGTTCTTATTTACCCTCTGGCCACTCAACTCTCATTTGTGGTTTTCCCCAACCACTTGGGCTCCAGCCTTTTCTTCCAAGCGGAGACCAACTCCCAGAGCTCTGGTTAAAAGGAAACAAACCCCCAAACGCTCACTAACAGGGCAGTAGGGAGTGGGAATGCGATCAGGGGAGCTGGCCCTGTGGCAAACTTCACTTGTTGCTCGGGGAAGGGATGGCAGTTTGTGACCGAAATTTCTTAAAAAGGAAAACCGGGGTTGAAACAGTGTGGGGAAAAAAAAAAATCCACAAACAAAAAAAAGTTGAAATCTTGCCAGGAAAACCATGGGATCAGATATTCCATTGATTTTTCTGTCCGCTGATAATAGCAGGCTGCAGAGTGCAACCTGCATGGTGCACACCCTCCTATCCTGCCTGCTGATGTATTTATGTCTTTGCTTGATCCTATCTGTCCGAGAGAATGGATTTATTGCCGAAAACAACCGTCAGCAAAGGTTTGCTTTGAGCCAGTATGAAAACATTGCATACACTAGTGTTGATGGAAAAACCCTGGCCCAACCCGTGTTGTTGATACTAATTCAGGGGACCCCGTGCTGGTAACCGATGGCATTTTCCTAATGGAGGTGAGGGACTCAAGACTCTGGAAACCACAGATGAAAAATACACTAGTTACTGGCAATTACTCTTGCAAAATGGCCATATTGTATATATATACTATATGCTATTGGATAATAAATAAAGGATGTTAAGTTTTTCGGGACACGGCATGAGATTTATTTGTAAAACCATAGAAATTAAGATAAAAAGATGGCCTTGAACATATTTAAAAAAAAAGAAATCATGGATATCTGGTATTTCAACCAATGCTTTGAAAGAGAAATCGGTGTGACTGTGAGTCAGCAACTCAGAATGGTTAAATTTAGCTGTGAAAGAGAAGTATTTTTTCTTCTGCAGAAAGTCTTTAACTTAACTGCTAAAGAATTTGGCAGGGACTCGCTGTCCCTTGAGTTAGAGTAATCCTGCTCGATCTCCCCCACATCCCCAAGCACCTTCTGTGCTTCTTGTCTATGTCTACTTCCATCTGATTCAGATATGCCCGAAATGCGGACTGTTAAGAGTTTCAGCTCAACAGATCGAGCCACTGCAAGTCCATAGTCAAAAAGGACTTAGAAATGCTGGGAGCCTGGGATGTGTCCCTGTGGATTCACAGTGATCTGATGGAGCAAGGACAACCATACCATCTGTTACAGGGATGATTTTTGTACGTAGAGGCAGCGGCTTTTACGGGGCTGCCTTCTCTAGCCGCAGAAAGCAGGCAAACTTTCCTGTATGTGTGTGCCCCAAAACATGCCTGTTTTCCCAGCTAATATAGTGGGTCTGGAAGAAAATATTCCTTCTGTTTGCAGACTTTCTTTCACTTTTCTGCTAGACTACGTTGACTACAGCAGCTCCACTACCTGAATACATTCATATTTAGGGAGAGGCAAAGGGTCTCTTGGCATCAGCACAAAAGAAAAGGGACAATAATTTCTCTTCAGAGAGCTGGAACATGTAAGCAGCTATTTTAGTACTTGAGACTTGCCCTAAAATGCTTGGTCCAATCCCTTTGGGTTTCTTGGTGTATCAGCCTTTTTTTCAGCCTTTCTCTGTGATACAGCTAGACCAAAATTTGAGTTCACCGAGAAATAGTGCAATTGCAAACGATCCTTTTCACATCTTCTCGGAGGATTTACAACCCAATCTAATCTATGCAGAGGGATGAAATCCCGTTCTGTTTCAGGGCGTTCCTCTTGCTGAGCAACGGGGTCACTGGTGACTGACGGCAGCTGGTAGCCTCCGAAGACAGAGAGGTCAAGCTAACCCATGCAAAGCCCTTGGCTTGTGTTTCGCAGCTTTCTAGTATTGTCCGCATTAAAATAAGGTGGTTTTACATGTAGTTGAACCACACGCACAAGAGCTGCCATTGTGTTACCATCCCTGAGAGCTCTTCTCACCCCAGTGCAAGTGTTTTCTTCAGTCCTGTGTTGTGGGGGAGGGTCTGGATGCATAAGGCTCTTATAGTCTATGGACATATATATATATTTACTGCTGACAGAAAAAGAAAAGATGATTGTGTTTTTCCGGACAACAAAGAAGCCTTTTTTCCGGAGCCATTAGAATGCTTTGTGGATTCCCAACTGATACATTTTTGTTTTAAAGCGTTAGAGGCTCACGAGCTGTTTTCAGGACTAATCCACACGCAGGAGAAATGCTGTGCTCCCCTCCCTGCCTTCTCCAAAAATTCCTTCCAAAGCCACAGGGTCCTTGCTTTGAGGAGGCCCAAAATTATTACTGGCTTTATTAGCATCCTTCAAATGTTCTTCTCTTTTCCATATAAAAATATTTTCTCTCACAATAACTGCAGCTATTGGGGATGGGGTTTCTGCGGTACCAGCCAGGAGCTATGGTTTGTTCTCCACTTTAACTAAACAATTTTATTTTTAATCTCACCCCCTTTTTTCTTCCCCTCTTGTAACCTTAACTTTTCGCCGCCGCCTTCAGATACCTTTTAATGCGGTCAGTGGAAATCTTTAACGCTGCCATGGTCCTGTTATTGTTTTGCTCTGATTCTGATAGCTGCAAGGATGGAGTCCCGCACAGCTTGTCCCGGAGGCAAGTAAATATTGACAGTTTAATCCTTCTCAGATGTACAAGCCATAAAGGAGTATTGTTTTAGGATCTGCTCCTGTGAGGTGATTAGCACCATCAACTCCTGTTGCCCTCGGTGCATATGGGGACTTTGCAGGGTGGAGGTAGGACCCTCAGTGAGGGTAGCGAGTGTGATCTTATGTAGCACAAGGAGAATTCAGGGCAGGGGTTTTCTCCCTGCTCGGAGCAAGCCATGCACATGTGCTTTGAGCAAACCTTGCACGTGTGCTGCACGCTGAAAATATGGTGATCTCTAGCCTGGCTGCCTGCAAAGTGCTGAATTTGAACCCACTCTATTCTCCTGAGGGTATATACTTCACATGCCACCTGCCTAGCAGTCCTCGCAGCACCACCCTGGCAGCCTTCCTGCTTTTCGTGGGAAAAAAATGTGGAATTTCAAGCAAAATTGAAGTCCTCAGTCATTCTTTGACCCCCTGTAAACTCTAGGTAAAATAATGTTTCAGATGAGACCCTATTTCTATTCAGTTCAATAGGTTTCCGGAGAGCCTTGCTGAGTTTGTCCCCATCACTTGATACAGGGAAATTTTCCACAGGGAAGGGGAATCTCCTTTCCAGAGTTGTGAGACATTTCCTTCTCCATAAAAACACCCCAGCAATGCTGTACTGCTGCTTATTTTGTCCTAGCCCATTTTCTGCTTGTATTTTATAAACCCAACTTGGTCTCACTAAGTGCTGGGGTATTTAGTGAATATTTTTGTCGCCTTTCAGTAAAGCAACTGCAGTGATGCTGATTGATGTGGGCTGAGGATGTAGCACGTGAGTTCATGCAGAAATAGTGATTTAAAACTGTTGATTCTGGGCCACTGATTTTACTGTCTCACCAACGCACACGGTTTTCATGATGTTGCTTCATATCTAATCTACTCCTAATTCTGCGGCTCCTCCAGAACATCAGTTTCAGGGATGACTTTCATTCTTCCCCATTAAAGATATTTCTAGGGAACAAAACTGTTTCCCTTGTAATAAATATATCAGATTGTGTCAATCGGCAGTTGTTTTTTCTTTTTGTTTGTTGGTGCCTGACAGAGATGGCTGTTCTCTCTTGATCTTTCTCCCTGTGAGGCTCCCACGCTGCTGCCTGCTAGGAGGTTGGTCACAACAACCCCCTGCAACACTCCAAGCTTGGGGATGAGGGGCTGGAAAGCTGCCCGGCGGAAAAGGACCTGGGGGTGTTGGTCAACAGCAGCTGAACATGAGCCGGTGTGTGCCCAGGTGGCCGAGAAGGACAGCGGCATCCTGGCCGGCAACAGGAACAGTGTGGCCAGCGGGACCAGGGCAGGGATCATCCCCCTGTCCTGGGCCCTAGTGAGGCTGCACCTCGAATACTGGGGTCAGTTTTGGGCCCCTCAGTGCAAGAGAGACACTGAGGGGCTGGAGTGTGTCTGGAGCAGGGAATGGAGCTGGGGAAGGGTCTGGAGCACAATTCCTGTGAGGAGCGGCTGAGGGAGCTGGGGGTGTTCAGCCTGGAGAAGAGGGGGCTCAGGGAGACCTGATCGCTCTCTACAGCTCCCTGAAAGGAGGGTGCAGAGAGGGGGGGAGTTGGTCTCTTCTCCCAAGTGACAAGTGGTGATGGGACAAGAAGAAACGACCTCAAGTTGTGCCAGGGGAGGTTTAGGTTCGATATTAGGAAAAATTTCGTCATGAAAAGGGCTGTCAGGCATTGGAACAGACTGCCCAGGGAGGTGATGGAGTCACCATCCCTGAAGGGATTTAGGAGATGTATGGATGCTGTACTTGGGGACACGGTTTAGTGATGGCCTTGGCAGTGCTGTGTTAACAGTTGGAATTGATGATCTTAAAGGTCTTTTCCAACCTAAATGACACCATGATCCTACGATTCTCTGGTCTCTTGGACCAAGGCCTGATGCTGATGCTCCTGGGCCCCACTGTGGGATGGCAAGGGAGGAGGGACGGGCTTCGTCTCTGTCCCATGTCCGGCAGAGCCTTCCCTCCCCTTTGTTGTGCCTTCTGTCCCCGTGGTGGGGTTACACGCCGGAATTACCCTTCCTTTCCGCCTCTCCCCAGCCATGTGCGGTGTCGTTGCGACCATCTGGTTTCCCGTGTGCGCCCACCGCGAGACCACCATCATGAGCTTCGGCTATTCCCTCTACACGGGCTGGATCGGCTCTGCCCTCTGCCTCTTCGGCGGCTGCATCATTGTCTGCTGCTCGGGAGATGCCCAGACGTTTGGTGAAAACCGCTTCTACTACGCCTCGGGATCCAGCTCCCCTACCCACGCGAAGAGCGCTCACGTGTAAGCGTCCTGGGGATGTCCCACGGCTGCCGTCGGATGCTTTGGCTGGTGGGTTTGTATGCCCTGGGTTTGCTTCTACTGACACACACTGCTGTCAGGCTCCCAGGGGAAGATTTAGAGAAGCAGCACAAATGTCTGGTAGTTCGAAGCGTTATTCTCCCCCATCTGTTCCCCCCTTCTCTAGAGAGAAAGCGCCAGCCAGCCCTACCTCCTGGTCCTCCCCATTTTGTCCTGACGACCTGCCCCATCTGCTTGCAGCCAGGATGACTCAGACGGTTTGGGGTTGTCATGTGGGTTTTAGGGGTTTTTATTTTATTTTCTAGCTCCCCTGATTGTAGGAGAGTTTAAAGCAATAAAACAGAAATGAGAGAGACTTTCCCATTGTTAGAAGGACTCTGGCAGCTTCTCCCACCACGTCACTATTTGCTTTCCCCTGTTCAAGGTCCCTGCTCTGGCACGGTTTGGGTGAGAGGGTAGGGAGGAAGGCTGTACTCTCCGGCCAGGCAAATGTTTCTCTTTTGGAACAAGAGCAGGGGATTATTTTCTGCCTTTGTAAATACTTTTGTATGAGTTTGATCATTCCAGTAACAGTATTTCCCCCACCCCCCACAAGTCATCAGTATGAAGGAAACAGAACCCAAAGGTCCTAATCACATGGTAGATAACAGTGCCTTTTTGAATAGTTTTAAGTGACTTTGGGGGCTCTAATCCCCGCACTCTGGTTTGGTTTCTTTTTTCCTTTGTACAGAGCAGTTACTAAAAATGTGGTTTTACTTTTTTTTTTTTTTTTTTTTTAAAACTCTTTGCTTTCTTCCTCTAAATTTGTGTTCTGCCTTGCGTCATTGAAGTAGCACACTTTAACACGGAGTGTAATGTGCCTGTTACAATTCTGGTGAATACTGATGATGCCTTTGTACTTTCAGTGGAATACTGTACAATAAATAACAGAGTACCTGCAACCACTGGCTTAATTTTCTCCTTCCTTCCTTCCTGTGTATTGCCATAGCTAGCTTTTCCGTGACAGGGGTTTCCTAATCATTTTGAAGACTATTTTTTTCAATAGCAGTTGATGATGAGAGGTTTTGCTCTGCTGTGGAATTAAGTGGGCCTTTCGCTTTTTTAGGGGAATACTTAAAATATGAGTAATCTTCCTGTGTGGTACTGCATGCTGTCTTATCATTTGTTTTTCCAATGTTCCCCATAGCAGCTTGCACCACAAGTACCATCTCACAGTACTCTACACATCAGGGAGACTTAGAGACCCACTGAGGCCGCGGAGATGTACCCCCAGCACAGCTCGGGCGTGCTGAAGTTGATAAGTCGTGTTGCTGGAAGTGCTCTCAACTAAAATAAGAGTCTGATCTGGGGTCATCGCTCTCTTTGATTAAAACCGTGTGAGATCAAGATCTAACTCTGTCCTTACCAGGGGCTGTAGCAATTTAATTACATGGATACAAAATCCCATCTGTTCCCAGAGATGTTAACTCAGTTCAAATAAATTGTGTAAGCCAGGCTTCAGGGGCGGGAAAAGATGAATAGCTGCTCTTCAGGCGTGGGCAAGGGGGAGAGCCCAGGTAGTGTTGCATGTAGGAGGGGGGATTGAGCCAACAGAGGAGAGGACCAACCAAATTATTTGGAATGATGGGGAAGAATTTGAAGACAAGGCTGCTAGTCAATCATAGAATCACAGAACGGTTTGGGTTGGAAGGGACCTTAAAGACCATCTAGTTCCAACCCCCCTGCCATGGGCAGGGACACCTTCCACTAGACCAGGTTGCTCCAAGCCTCATCCAGCCTGGCCTTGGACACTTCCAGGGATGGGGCATCCACAGCTTCTCTGGGCAACCTGTCCCAGTGCCTTACCATCCCCTCCAAGGGTGGATTAGGGACTGTCAAGCCTTGGTGGATTAGGGACTGTCCTTTCATGTTGGTCTCCTTCAGCTGGAGAGTCCAAACTGGGTGACACAGCTGTGGGCAAGGATGCTGCAGCTCCCATGCGTTGCCTCCTTCATGTGGGATGCCAAGGTGGGAGCATTTAAAAGGAGCGAATAAGGAGGCCTCAGGAGAGGCTGGTCATGTTCCAGGCTGCCTGTGCATCACCCTCCAGCTCCGACACACAACCCCGGCCTTTAAGACGGAGCAATCTTGAACGCCTCTCTGTTGTGCAGCCTTTGCGTCGCTGCCATCCTATACAATGTGCCCGTGGCGGGCAGCGGCGCGGGGCCGGCCGCAGGACACTTCTGCCCATTACATCACAGGCAGGGCACAGGCAGTTGTTGTACATGCTGGAGAGATGCTATAAGTGCTGCCATTGATGTGTGGGTGCTGCGGGCAATGGGGTGGTGCACAGACGTGCCAGCTTGTGCAGGCTGCCCGGGGATTGTGGATTGTGCGCCACTGCCTCTGGCTTTAGTCGAGCTCCGATGTTTAACCCCTGGGTCAACAGCAGCGTGGGAGACCTCAGAGCAGAAAGGTGCTGGAACACTGCCCTGCAAATGGTCCTGGAGCAAACTGGGGTGTGGGGAAGCACAGGAAAACCTGAGATGCTTGAATGTGGGGTTTTGGCGAGACTTTGGTGTTGCTGGAGGGGCCCGGGCAGTGGTCCGTGACCCAAAGAGGAATGAGAACTGCCAGGCAGTGCTTACGGGTTTTTTGATGCATGCAACTTGACATCTTCAGGCACACGGGGCTGGGGACCCTCGGCAGGGACTGGTGTTGGGGCTCCGCTCACCCTGCCCACAGTTACAGGTTATCGGTGGCTGATCCCAAATCCAACCCTTAAAAGGCTCTGGCAGGTTGCTCAGAGGAAGGAATAAGCCTTATTTCAGGGAGGAGAAGAGAAATCCAAACAAAGCAAAACAACTCTGGAGCAGCCGCAGGGAAAATGGACATCTGCAACCGTGGGGTGTGAGGAGATGGGGCCAAGAATGGGACAGGATATTAGTGCTGGCACCCAGAGGGAAAGCGTTTGGAGGAAGCATAAAGAGCATTAAACTTGTCTAGTTTTTAAAGGATCAAAGCTGAAATACTGCTCTGCACACTCCCAAAATGCCCTGCTCCCCCATGGGGTTCTCCTGGGCTGGGTTGGCTGTGGCGCTGTTGGCTCTTGAAGGCTTTAGGTGCTCGTTTGCTGACCCAAAACCTCAAAATAGAGTAAAATATAATTCTCCTGAATGGAAACACAGCTCCATGCCATGCCTAATGTCTGGTGGTCCCCCCAGCAGGGAGGTGGTGGTCTCTGATGCCACAACGGAGCCCTCCCTAGCCCCACCAGGACCGCCCATACACGGGGAGTGCACCTGGCAGCCTCCCCATACCCCAAAACCCAGGAATAACAGGAGGGAGGGGACACCAGTGGCCCGGAGTGCACCAAAGGGGACAGGCGGTCGTGGCTCTGTGAGCAATGTCTGCCTCCTCATGGCCCTGGTCCCCGTGCAGGGGGATGACAGTGCCGTGACACCCCCGTTACCCTGGCAAAAGAGGGGTGCCAGCAGCACCGCGAGCAGACGGGAGGACGTGGGCGCTCCCCGGGGCTTTGCACTGCGATAGTCAACCTGTGGTCATTGGCTTTAGTTTTTTTCTTATTTTTATTGTGTAAACCGATCACCATTTCTTTTTCACAACAGTGCAGGTAAATACCAAAGTCAGCCCATTGAAATGAATTTTCTACAGAGGAAATTTTGAAGCACTTAAGGCAAGACTTGCTCATCTCTAGTTTCAATTTAGCATTGAAAAAATACCAGACTTTCAGCTACTGATTGCCGTAACAAAATTTACATGGGATTTTTTTTTTTTAATTTTTTGGTTTAACCTTTCATTTAAAAGATTTACATTACTATGGAGACTGATACTAAGACATATTTGTCTCTGGCTTTCTTAAAAATCCATTAGTTCCTGTTTGATTTTTAAATGTAAAGGCACACAATAAAGCTTTACGCATTTATTAAAATATACAGATTTTGGTAAATTTAGATTCTTTTCTTAGTATCTTGATAATATATATATGTATAGTTGTCAACAACACAATTATTTGAAAATAAAAATCACTCCATAACATATCTGCATATTTTTTTTTCTTTCTCATGACACACTACAAGGTCCCATTGTACAATGCACCAATGGGTTTTTGGAAACCACAAAAAAAAAAAAAGTAAGAAAAGAAAAAAAATCAATAAACCAAACTTTTTTTGAACAAATACACCAATTTCATACAAGAACTGCAGAGAATTGTTACACCAGAAAATACCATCTGCAAAAAAAGCAAGATATACATCAGAAAGACCGAACAAAACAAAGTGAAGATCATTTACAAGCTCGATTTACAACATCCCGTGTCGTTCGGGGCGTGAATTCTCTGCCATGTAGAGGATGCGAGCGCGCCGGGCCTCGTACCCTGATGGCCATAGCCACGTGGAGTGAATTTGTGGAGGGACTGCGATCTCATCGAGTCGGTCTGGAAGATTTGAGGTATTGGTGCTCCGTCCGTGTCCCACATTGGGTGCCCCAAGGCGCGTGCCCTGTGGAGGGTGCTCAGGCGAGGGGGGGGGGTGTCTGTGCCTCTCGCTGGGGTGATACCACACTGCCAGTGTCCTCCTAGGGGGTCAGGGATGTGAGAACCTCCCGGAGGGGACCCAGAGGGAAAGGATGGATTTTGGGGTTACAGCAAAACAAGCACTTGTTCCTTCTCCCAGCATCCCAAGTCGCCCCCTGGGGTCAGCGGTACGCGGAGGTGATGGACGTGCCTGAACGTTTTGGTCTTTGCAGCCTTTGCTTGTGCCCATTGAAGACCCTCAGTGCCCGCTACAAGGGAGAGCCCATGAGCTCCCAAACGGAGGCTGAACACGCGTGTCCCCCAGGCACTGCTGTTCCGAGCAGGGTGCGGGGACGCAGGCAAGTCCCTGCCTGCGGCTCAGCTGCCTTCTCCTTGCACTCCAATGTTAGGTGGGATGTGGTGGGCTCAGGAGGAGGGTACAGCTCCCACCCACCACCACGGTGGGGGCTAATGGCAGCCTGTCCACACCAAACGGTGCTGTGGAATCAAATGCTGT